ATGACAGAAATTGGTGAAAAGGGAATTACATTAAGTGGTGGTCAGAAAATGCGTGTTGCTTTAGCAAGGTAAATTTAATTATGATTGATTTTTTATATTTTAATTGATTATTCATTAAGCTTGACGTTAAATTGTAAATTTCATAGAGCTGTCTATTCGCGAGCACAACATATATACATAGATGATGTCTTCAGTGCTGTTGACGCACATACTGCTTGGCAATTGATGAATGAATGTCTACTAGGTCCTATTATGAAAGGACGTACCCGAATTCTTGTAACGCATCATATCAGACTCTCTGTTACTGGTGCTGCTTATTTGGTATGGCGCAAACTATCTGTAATAAATTTTGCGTTTTAATAATCATTTAATATTGTACTAATTAGGATCCGATTCTTCTTTTAGGTTGTTGTTAATAATGGAAAAATTGTTACATCTGGGTCGATTTCAGAATTACGCAATTCAGGAACATTGGCCTCGATCCTTGATGAGAATGATAATCAATCAGAATTCGAGAATTCCGTTGAACTAGCCGCGGAAAATGCTGCTAAAGTAAGTAATATCTCCGAACAGTCATCCACTCCTAGTCACAACGCCGATTCATCAACTGCTTCCGATGCAACTCTTGTCGAGAATGTTGATCAGGCGGATGATTCACAACCAATAAAAAAAGTCTCTAAACCAAAAGTTCTTGTCGAAGAAGAAGGTATGTCTTTGTACTTATTTTGTTGATTCAATTTTAGGATTAATCTTGATTGTAATTAATTATTAGCGAGACCAACTGGCATGGTTAAGTTTAAGATTTACAAGTCTTATTTCCGCGCAAATGGAAATATACTTTATTGGTTATTCTTTGTCGGAATATATCTTGTAGCTAGAGTTATGCAAATAATGGAAAATTGGTGGCTTCAAGTTTGGTCAAATGCTAAAAACGAGACAACACCATCACTTTTCAATTTTGTTCGACAAGATAATTTAGTTATGATAGATGGAATATTCGACGATATTTATAAGCCACATAGCGTTGATTATTATTTAAATCTATACGTGTTAATTACATTATCATCAATTGTCATTGGCATCTTACGTTTTGTTTGGCTTTATTACGGATCTTTAAAAGCATCTGAAAAACTTTATCGAAAATTACTTCATCAAGTTATTCGTGCTCCATTAAGATTTTTTGACACAACCCCAGTTGGAAGGATTCTTAATAGGTTCAGTAAAGATTTTGAAACAATTGATGTCTCTATAGCACGTAAGTTTATCTTGATGTTTATCTTGGTGTTTATCTTGGTATTTATCTTAGCGTTGAATTCATAATTATCTTTTGCGATTTTCATTAAATATTTTTATAGAGGATCTTTCATGGTTTTTGGTCAATGTAAATCCATTTTGTTTATTATGCTTTTACTTTGTGAAGAATACACGTAACTCTGGTTATAACGACACGATCCGAAACATTACTAAAAAAAAAATCGTTATTATTTCAAATAACTATAAGTTATGACGACATATACGCGACCAAAAAAAGATTTTACTATGATATATCGTTATATCTAGATGTCTTTATATTCAGATGTTGTTATATTCAGATGTCGTTATATCCAGATGTCGTTATGTATAGTGTTTGTAGCTTACTCAACATAATTTTTTTTAGGCACTTATGATGTCGAGTAGCATCGTTGTTGTAACGGTCATTACAAGAGGTATTGTTTTTGATCGTATTCTTTAAATACATAAACATTAAATCTAAAATTGTAACCGTAATAATAGAGTTTCTTGTTCCGGCAACCTTATTTGGTAACGTTTCATTATTATTATGATTTTTGTTGATTCTCGTTGCAATAACAAAGAATACAAACTTTTCTGACAATTTTTTAAACTTACTTTAACCAGGCATTATTTATATAATTATTGGTGCACTATACTCGAAGACATCTCGGGAGCTTAGGAGAATGGATTCTGTATCAAGATCTCCGCTGTATTCTCATTTTACTGAGACTTTAATGTAGGTGCTAGAATTATATTTTAAGATTTGAATTGTTTCTCTTTACTTGTTTTGATAATGCTTAACAATGTTTAATAATGATGTCATTTGTAGTGGCATAACAACAATTAGAGCATTCAGTGCATCGAAGCGGTTTATGCAAGATATGCTATTAAAGTTTGTATACAAATTTATTAAAAATTTCACGTACTTTACATTTAATTAAAATTTCATCATTTTATATCACAGAATAGATTACAATATTCGACCATCCTTTTATATGTGGTTAGCAAATCGTTGGCTTTCAATTCGTTTCAATATTAC